GTAGGCAAAGACTGGTCTTTTGTCTCTATTTTCAGTACAGCTCTCATCATATGGGAGGTACCCTTCATTTTATAGTTGAGAAACCAAAGTGCAGAGAAATAAATTACCCAGTAAATCATTGCATACTATTTTGTTATTTTTTTTTTACACACACTTTTTTTTACACACACTCTTTTATTTTAAACAAACTTTAATTTTTTTTAAAGATTAATTTATTTGTGCATATGGAACTGGGGTACAGGCCAGAGGCTCAGGGGCGGCGAGAGGCTTCACCAGAGACAGAGTGGGGAGCAGAATAGGCAGATCGGCCAATTACACTACCGAGGGGAGCAGTGAGGGGAGCAGCGGGCGGGTCAGGAGAGGTCTGCCACGCCATGTGGTCACCTCCAGGGCAGGCAGGAGTCGAACTCATGCCGAAGTAGCTTTAGCTTTTCAGTGCTGTGCTTTAACCCGCTGCGCCACCAGGGAGGGCCCAAACTTTAATATTTAAGATTTATTTATATGTACAACAACTGGGATACAGGTCAGAAGTAGGAGTGAGAGAGGATTCACCAAAGACAGATTGGGAAACAGACCAGGCAAATTGACTGAAATACACTGCTTAGGGGAGTGGTGGTAAGATAGAAGTCTACAGCACCACCGGGACTAACTTCCTGGCCAGAGATGGAACTCTTGCTGCGTGGCTGGCTGCCTATGGCTTCACAGTGCTGTGCTTTAACCCCTTGTGCCACGAGGGAGGCCCATCATATACTGTTTAAAGATGGGCTGCCATCTAGTCTAGTGTTTGTTTCCTCTTCATCAGAAATTACTGATTCACATGTCTATGAAGGCAAGAGAGCAACATATTTTTACAGTTATTCTGTCTTTTTCCTAGGACATGTGGCTTTCTAATACTACATTTCCTCATATATGATAAAGAAATATTTTGATACACGATATGTTTTCCTCTTAAACTACTACATAAGAAAAACAGTAGTGTAAAAGTCCTGTTTATGTTGTGACTTGAGAAATTATAGATGATATAATGTTAACCCTTCTTTGTGGTGCCATGGGACTTGGTGTGGTGCTCAGGGTATGGTTTTAGTCTTTGGATTCTTGCCCCAGTTTAAAACTCCAAATTCAGAAGTTATTTCTAGGCAGACTTCTGTAGTGTGTGATGGTGTGTGTATTAACAGACTACAAAAGAACTTTTGCAAACATGTTATTCAGCTATCCCATAGGTACAGTTGCCCAGAATTCTTAATATAGTTAAAGCAGAGTCCAGGATTAAATTACATGGTTCTTGAATTTTCAAGAGGTGGCTTCTTGCCTTTAGTATCAAATTTGATTAAACTTGTTAACTTTAATGCCATTTGGTTCTGTTGGGGAAGAAGAATTAAATTGCTTTCTCTAGAGAATGAATTTTTTCTACTGACTAAGGAACAGAACATTTATTAAAATTATCTTGGTGACCTGAAAGAGAAATGTACTCCTTTTACCTCAGCAGAAGCAGGTCCAAAGCATTATTAGCACATGGGAAAATTTGAATAATTGAGCAACACTGACTTCTTTGGGATTCAGCCTTTCAGCCCCTGCTGTGTGATTAGTTCTGTCCAAGCTGCTGGCATGCCAGAGCAGGAAGCCTGCAGAGGATTAGGAAGGAAAAACCCTTCAGCAAGTCCCAGCTATTGAAGACATTTGATTTAATTTTACATGTTACACATGAAATCTGGTTTCCCTTGGCAACCTTCAGTTCTGCCCTGCTTTATAATCAGATGATTGCAGGCTACAAGCAGACTTGGTGGCTTCACCTGGAAGCGGCTGTAGAGTCTGAGTTTACCTCATGAGATTTCGAAAAATGTCACTGCAAAAGGCCAGAAGAGTCTGAGTCTCTTTGAAGGGACAGGAAATTCTCTATAGCTTAAATATCCAGAACTACCTATGGAGAGCAGTTGGGATGAGAGGGAAAGGGATCAAGTCTTACAATTTTAGCAATAACAATTTTATTTGGGAATTGCAGATAAGGTTTTAATTCAGAAATAACAATAATAGCTGTTATTTATTAAATACACGCCAGAAATCTTACTTGGTTCTTTACATATACAGTCTCATCGAAACCTTACAATATCCCTGCAAAGGATATATTAATATCTGTTTTATAAATGTACTCATTTATTTGTACAAAGTACAAAAGAGTACTTGGTAATGTCTTAAAGGAAGGTGAGGCAACTTTGACTACAAGATTTCAGCTTTAAGAGAGTACTACTCGTTTTTTAAAAAATTATCTCAGGGACCTCCTTTGTGACACAAGGGGTTAAAGCACAGCATTAAAAGGCTATACACAGCCACTGCAGCATAAGTTCGATCTCTAGCCAGCCAGCGAGCTGACCCACAGGGTGCAGCAGACTCTCCTGCTGCTCCCCTCAGCAGTGTATTTCACTTATTCCACCTGTTTCATTCCCCACTTTGTCTCTGGTGAATCCTCTCACCCCCTGTATCCCTGGCCTGTACTCCAGTTCTTGTATGCATAAATAAATAAATCTTAAATAAATAAAAATGATCTCAAAATCCTCAAAAATTGATAACCTCTATTTGAAACAGTATGTATGCTTATATGTGTGTGTGCATGTATATAAACACATATATGCATATATGTATATATATGCATATATGTGTTTTTATATATGCATATATATAAATGATGACCTGTAGCCATCCAGAAAAGTTTAAATTATGGCCGTCACTGGTGGCGCAACAGGTTAGGACACCACACTGCAAGCTAGCCGCAGCTGCTTCAGTGCTAGCTGGGTTCCGGTCCTGGAGGTGACCCACATGGTGCAGCAAACCTCTCCTAGCTCTCCCACTGCTCCCCTCAGCAGTGTACTTCATTGATCTGCATGTTCTGCTTCCCACTCTCGCTGGTGAAGCCTCTCACCTCACCGCACCTCTGGCCTGTATCCCAGTTCTATATGCACAAATAAATAAACCTTAAATAAATTATAATCATTTTGTTCTAACTCTCTCATACTTTAGAAATGTAATAATAGTTTACTTAAAGCCTAAAGTGAGGTCTGCTGACTCCTAGTAATTTGCATATTATATTATGATCATAAACTTTCAAAGGGGTTTTGAGTAAATGGAAGAAAAGAAGGAAGGGGTCAGTATTCTAAATGGTATTAGGGTGGGCTTGCTAAATAAACTAACACATCAGAAGGTACAGGCATTTAGGCACTGGTAACAGTTCTTATAACTAGTGATTAATTTATTTGGCTTTGCTCACATCTTCTTTTAAAAGAATTATTCCCCTATTGTAAAATTTTTATTTTATTTATTTTTGTGTAGAAGAACTGGAATGTAGGCCAGAGGTACAGGTGTGTGGGGTGTGACAGAATTCACCAGAGACAGAATGGGGAGCAGAACAGACTGATGCACTGAAATTCACTGCTAAGTGGCCAGCAGGTGAAGCAGAAGAAATCTGCTGTGCCATGTGGGTCAGCTCCCTGGTGGTAGCTGTGGTAATGCTGAGACTTAACCCCTAGGCCACTAGGAGGTCCTTGGCGCACATCTTAGTAAATGTACTGTTGGGCCCTCCCTGGTGGCGCAGCGGGTTAAAGCGCAGCACCAAGAATCGAAGGCCACTTCCGCATGAGTTCGATTCCCGCCTGCCCTGGAGGTGATCCACATGGCGAGGCAGACCTCTCCTGACCCGTCCGCTGCTCCCCTCAGCAGTGTACTTCGTTGATCTGCCTCTTCTGCCCCCCACTCTGTCTCTGGTGAACCCTCTCACTGCCTCTGCACCTCTGGCCTGTACCCCAGTTCTGTATGAATAAATAAATCTTTAAAAAAAAAAAGAAAAAAAAAGAAATGTACTGTTTTTCCAAATGACCCTGTTTCTAGTAAGTACCATTCTGGTCATTTAAAAAGACATACAGAACCCACATACAGGTGTGTTTGGGTATGCATGTGTATGTGCTCACATGTATGTGGTACACATGTATGTATGTATCTCCAGGTCCAGAGGTGGATACGAATATGTGAGTGGTAACATGATGACTGGCCATTTTCCTGACATGTAGAAACAGATGACATAATAGCATTTTAGTGACTTATCCATATGGGCTTCTGTTAGATTCACCAGGTGCTATATATACTAAGGCAGGGCATGTCTTTACCTTTCTTTAAAGTGAAAACTGTGGGCATCTAATAGCAAACTGAGTAATCTAAATGTTATACACTTACTAGCAAAATAAGATAAATAATCTTATTTAGTGCTCCTGTGTTTGTGAATGTTATCTTCATTTCAGCAACTCCTTTATGTAGCCTTCTCAGTACATTTCCCCAAACATTTTATTATGAGAATTTTCAAATATAAATTTGAAAAGGTAGTACTGTGAATACCTACATACCCACCTAGATTATATAGTTGTTCCTATTTTTCCATATTTGTTTTCTCATATATCTAGCCATCAACTTATGTTTTAGTTTTTGTTCTATTTCAAAATTAGTTACAGAAATTAGTACATTCTAGTGCTAAACACATACATGTGAATATCTTCAGTTAGATAGAATTAAAATGTGTTAGCCCTCTTAAAAATAAAAACAAGAAAAAAATTAGCTTTTCCAATTCTGTGTTATGGGGAAGTAATGTGTATGTAGTCACTTTGGGTCTTCCCCTATGAAATAGTAAGATAATTTAAGAATAAGAAGTAAGCTACCCTTGTTTAAAAAAAAAACAAAAAACAAAAAAACATTAGAACCTCAGTATGAGAAATAGAAATCTATAGGGAGGAAGGGGGACACCCCTGTTGAATTCCTAAGCCACAGCAAAGCAGCATTGCAGAGTAACATCTTACCTCATTTCTGAGGTCATCGCTACATTTTTGAACATTAACTCCTGTGTAAAAGGGAGAGTTTGATTAGCAAATTAGCTATGTACTTTAGTGATGATATTACTGCTTAATTTCAATGAACATTTTTTCCCCTTTTCTCTCCTTTCTGGGTGTGACTAAATTGCTACACAGCATGCTGCATGGTTGCTGGTAAAACAGGAAATGGGGTAAGTAATTTAGGTAGGGAGTTTTTACTACCATTTAAATATAAGCCACTTACTTTTACTACTTTGTAAAAGAGGTAAAGTACTTTTACTACTACTATCTCTTTTTTTAGAGTGAACTTACTAGCTACTAAAGGAATTGGCACAAAGAGAAAATTTTTATTGTATAAATTTTATTGTATAAATAGGTGTCAACTTCGTTTAATTTGTTAATTTTCATATTTTATTCATAGTCTATGGAAGCAAATTCATTTCTTTGGTAGACACATGAATGTAAATACATATTTTATAGGCATTAGGTACTTAACATAATGTAGTTTGTAAGGTTAAAGGAATAAATTTGGTCTTAGAAACTACATTTTGAAACTAATTATCCTATAAAAGACACAAGGTGAAATCCTAATAAAGGATGAACAAATACGTGAAACAAAAGCCAAATGTGTAACTTGCAGGACTGAAAATCTGCAATACTAAAAGTATTGTGTATTTGCCTTATATTAAGGATAAGGTTTCTAAGAAGGTTGTTAACCCTTCCTCCAGCAATTTCTGGAAGTTAAAGTTTTTAAACTGAGGTAAAATGTTCTACATATACTATTTCAAAAACTACGAAGTTTTTAAAAGAAACATAAAATGTTTCATTTTAACCATTGTTAGGATTGGCTCTTGCTACAACCCTTTGTACTTCCTAGAGTATAAACACTTTTTAAATCATTTTCTATTCTTGTTTTAACTTTGTATCCTTTAAAATGCTTCTCATATACTAGTTATTTTTCAGTATGATCCTATTTTATGAAAATATCATTAAACTGTCATTTAAAATACCTAAAAATGTCTCAGATATTCTAAGAATTAGAAAGCTTACAAAATACAAATACTTCATTAATTTTTTTTTAAAGATTTATTTATTTATTCATATGGAACTGGGGTACAGGGCAGAGAGATGTGGATGGTGAGAGGATTCACCAGAGAGACAGAGAGGGGAGCAGAACAGGCAGATCAACGAAGTACACTGCTGAGGGGAGCAGTGGGGGGGTCAGGAGAGGTCTGCCACGCCATGTGGTCACCTCCAGGGCAGGCGGGAATCGAACTCATGCGGAAGTGGCTTTAGCTTCTTAGTGCTGGGCTTTAACCCCCTGCACCACCAGGGAGGGCCACTTCATCAGTTTTTTAGGAATTTATTTTTATTTATTTCTTCACACAAGTACAGGGATGTAGGCTAGAGGATTCACTAGAGACAGAGTGGGGAGCAGAACAGACAAATTTATTGAAATACACTGCTGAGGGAGCAGCAGGCAAGACAGGAGAGGTCTGCTGCACCAGGGGGGTCAGCTTCCTAACCAGGGATAGAACTCAAGAACTCATGCTAGAGTGACTGGTGATAGCTTGACAGCACGGAGACTTTAAACCCTGCACTGCACCAGGGAGGTCCACCTTTTAATATTTGAATAAATTCTTAAATATAGAGAATTGGCTGTTTTTGTTTTGTTTTGTCTTGTTTTCAGTTTAGGGCTTGTCTGGATATTTCATTGTTAAACTATAATACCAAAGCATATGAAAGCATTCTTATAAACAACTATAATCACAACTAAACAGAATGTGTATTTCTTAATTTACATTTTTAGAGGAACGGTGGTCTCTGTGTATATTTCTTAAAATCAATTATTTTAGCTAATTGTAGTTAATAATGTCTTTGGTTTTAAAGAATGAAGTTATAAAGAATGTTGACTATAATTGTTTCTATCATTGAAAATTAGACATTAAAAGAGATGATTCACAAGTGGCCCTCCATTCTCTTTGTGGCCCTATAAATAGCCAGAAGTTTTAATTATTTGAATGATGTGGGCATGTGAGTTTGTCAGTGGTCTTACATTATTTTCTGTAGGGTAGAGCAAAGAGGTTTAATAATATCATACCATGTTTTTCTTCCTTTTTACCTCAGTTCCTTTCTACCACAATTTTAGAGTGCCAACTAAAAGCTAGAAATCATAATTGGGACTTCCCCAAATTTATTTATTGGCTCATGAATAGTTTGGGGGGGAATGTCAGATTTTTATTCAGACATTTATGTGATATTAAGTTGATCATTTCAGAACATTGATACTTTAGGATTTAACATTTCCTCTTTAGCAGTAAAGCGGGGGAAAAGCACAGCTTTACATTCATTTCCCAAAAGTAAGCCCCCATTGTCAGAAAGAGAATGTATTTTTAGTTTTGGTTGTTACTCTACTACACAGTTTTGTCGTTTTTGAGCAGTAAAGAGTCCTCTCTGTATCACCCGCCTGTCTTCTGACATATCTGTGCTAAAATCTCTCAATTCTAGCTCAGAAAAATTCATAGCTTACTTACATTTTGGGAGCTTTAAAACTACCTTATATGCCACTAGAAAAAATGCACTTCATTGATTCTATGAGAATATAAGGTGAATGAATGAGGATTTTCTTGGTCTGCTTTGTTTTCTGCTTTCTGTCTCATTTGTAAAACAGTATCTGGCATATAGTAGGCATTCAAATATTTCTTTTAATTGCATACATTCTTGCATGTTCTTTAATCGAAAAAGTGAAATTTTTATTCAGTGAATTAATTTTTCTGTTATTCAGAAAACAGAGTCTGTCGCGAGGAAGAAATGATATAGTTCAGCTAAAAGAAGCCTACAAATGGATAACTCACCCCCTGTTTTCAGAGGAACTGGGTGTTCCCATTGATGGAAAGGTATTGGGTCACCAGCATTGTTAATTTTGTTCTCTGGTTTAACTAGTTTTACTTTACTACATGGCAGAGTTTTGGTTAGCTGAAAGAATATTTTTAAATAATTCAGTGGAGGATGTTTGATTTTAAAATGGTGATTTCTAAGTCTTAAATTAAGATTAAAGTTTTTCTTTTTAAAGACTTCTTTGTGATCCAAGACACATATAACAGACACAGTGTATCCTCACTGACCTTAGAAGGTTAGACATGATCTAAGCCTATACTATATTTATAGTGAAATTGGAGAGATAGATTTATTGATAATAAATAAGAGATATATTGATAATGAATAACTATGAAGAAGTGAGAGTCAGTTCTAGATTATTTAATTTTATTTGTGGCTTATCTTGTTTTCAAGTAGGCAGACAACTTATTCATGTGCTGTGAGCATGGCTCAGTCTGTCCCACTTTATTTTTTTAAAAAGATTTATTTATTTATGCATACAATAACTGGGGAGCAGGCCAGAGCTAAGAGATGAGAGGATTTACCAGAGACATAGTGGGGAGCAGAACAGGCAAATTCACTGAAATATACTGCTGAGGGAAGCAACAGGAGAGACAGGAGAGGTCTGCTGCGCCATGTGGGTCAGCTCCCTAGCAGGCAGGGGATCAGGGGATCGAATTCCTGTAGTGTCTGGCAATAGCTTGATAGTGCTGTCTTTAACTCCTGCACCATCAGGGGAGGCTGTCTTTAACTCCTGCCCACTTTATTGGTATCTCATGTCCCTCCATTTAATTTTAGGCCAAGATTGTCTTTGACACAAAAGCAATCAGTCTTTTTCCCTATTCCAGAGCAGACCTTGCCTCAGTTTCTATTGTATTGAACTTCAGGGATGAACGCAATAGGCTTTCAGATGTGAATACAGGACACATTCCCAACCTTAAATTTTATCTTAATAATATGGTCTCATTGTTTCACCATTTTGCTTGAAGGAAATTCCGTGATTATCAGACACATCCCTATTCAGGTAAAATCACAAACCAACTTCCAAAGCTAAGTAGTTAAAATCCATCCCTCAGTCTAAATTACACAGCTGTGTTTCTCTCTGTTACTAAGAACAAACTCTGTGCTCTAAATTGAATACTGAGAAAATAGTGAAATAAAACCACATCACAGATAGTATGAAGAGGAAATGAGGTAATGAAAGTACTTTGGAAATTAGAGAAGTCCTGATGCAAAATATTTTTACCTCAGCTTTGAGTTTTGAAGCATAAATAATTTTATATGTCCAAATCAGTGAGAATAGGAAATAGAAAAAAGATATAATAATAGATTCAGGATGACTACAGGTTTTCTTGAGTGAAAGGAATATTTTATCATTTAAATTCTATTTTATAGTCTGATAAAAAGATTATAAAATGCTATTTTAATTCTGGAGTAGCAAGATGCTAGTGATCCAGTGTAGTAAGTTAATACAGAACTCAGAAAATAAAACACTCAATAAAATAAATTGTGACTTACTATAATATCTTTTTCTCATTGTGGAGTTTCATATATTCTCCCTGGAGGCAATAATGCTTTTTTTGTTTGTTTATAAGGATGCTCTTTGTAGAATATTTAATAACTGAAAACTTTATTACAACTTAAATGTCCAACAGTACCTACAGTTGAAAAGATACTCATGATATAATATTAATTGAATAAAGCTAATTTCTGAAAGTATGTTTAATATCCCAAGAAGCTTATACAATTGTGTCTATATAAACTTGCTGAGAAAGAAATACACCAAAGTCTTACTAGTTCTACCTCAGTGGTGTGGGACTGAAAAACTATCCTGTTTTTTATTATTTTATAATTTGTATGGATCACTTTGTAATAAAACAAAAAATTAAGATCTCTCTTTTAAAGCTCAGATCTATGAAGAAATTTGAATAATTTTTAAAGCCTCAAATAGAGTTTTTAAACATGATTTTTTAACCTTGCTAATAATTTCTTAGTATAATATTGGCAGGAATAATTATTTATTTTAGCTACCTCTGACTAATTCCCTGAATTCTCATTTACCTTCACATCTAATTTACATACAGTGTGCAAAGTCATACAAATATATTTTAAAATGGGCTTTAAACTTGTGTTTTGTTAAGATCACTAGTGATTGAGCTTAGAAATTAAAAAAAAAGAAAGACTTCCTTTATAGCTGCCCTGTGAACAAGCTGATTTGACAACAGTATTTCCAGTTTTCTTTGTCATTCTTTTTCTGAGCCAACCTTTGATAGTTAATTTCTATTTCCATTCATAAGTTCTTAGATGTTGGTTTCCTTTTGCTCATTTTAAAATTGTCTTTATAATTTTTAGAGCTTGTTTGAAGTGAGTGTGGTCTTTGCTCACCCAGACACAGTTGATGATTGCCACTTCCTGTAAGTTGCCACGTAAACAACAATGTCACTTGTGTAAAATGTTGTTAATGCTCTTTGGCTTTCATGATGATAGTATTGCGCCTCTTTCTAATGAACTTGCCATGCCTTAGTGCATTTAAAATGTGCTTTAAAAAAAGAAAAGAAAAAGTAACTATAATAAAGTAAAAATCATTGAATCATCAGCAACTATAGATCAGAGACATCCTGTAGGGGAAGAGGAGGGAGAAGGCAGGACAGGGGTGGGAAGAGCACAGGGGACTATGGTGATGGTGGACGGGGGAATTAATGGGTGGTGGGAATTTCACGGGGAAACCATACATTGTACAGAAATGAAGAATGATGTAGTAGATATATTAAATAATAATAATAATAAAAGGGAAAAAATAAAATGTGCTCTCTGAGATAGACAAACCAGTGCAATTTTTCCTTGTTCCTAATGCCCTGAACTTAGCAACCGTGTTGTATAAATTATATTTAAATTACATTCATCCTACAATAAATTCACTAACCTTTTATATTAACTTGAATTTTACTTTAGGCGTGTGATATGCCCAGATTGTTTCAAGCCAGCAAAAAACAAACAGGTAAGGATTCCTCCTTTTTCTTCCTTAGTGAGTTTTTTCTTCACTGAATATTCAAAGTAAATGTAAAAAGGATATGTATTAGAAATGTAACAATCTATTATACTAAGAATCAGTGTTTAAACACTTATATTTGCTACATTTATTTATTTTTAATTCTCAACACCTTTGCCTCTGACTGGGAAGTCTTAATGTAGATTCTCATGTTTGTTTTACTGTCTGAGTTGATCTCTGATGTTAAAATTTAGAACTAGTGTTTTAATGATGTTTTTGTTACCTTTTGGGGAAATTCAACTCTTAAATTTTTTATTTTTTTTAATTTTTTTTAATTTTATTT